ATTTCGGCTATTACGCATTCTTTATTCCTGACCAGAAACTGTGTCCTTTGTGTGGGTGGTGGTGGCTGACAGGTAGGGGGATAACATGCCCATTTTAATTAAACTTCAATTTATTTTATTGCAATATTAATCGCCTTGTGGGCATTTGGCAGGCCATTTCATTTAACTCTCTGGGCAACATTGTAATTGGAAGAGGTTGCAAGAGGAGGGGAAGTTAAAAGGAGTTAGGGAAAGTGGGCTAACCTTTCCTTAAACCTTGATATAAAATTTTTTTTTTTTGAGTATAATAATATAATTTTATTTGAATTATAGGATCTCTAATGGGTTGTAAGTGGAATTATATTGTATAATGAGTAAAAAGTTAAAGGTGTTAAAAGGGCTGCTTAAAATCATCTTACGGCAGAGCATTTACTAACACAAATACAAAAAAGCGTGCACATATTTGCAGCTGTGCACTGAGAGAAACAAAAACTTCATTCTTTGCCAATCAATTCGTCACTCATTTTACTGAATCGCCAAACGCGAAGCAAACTCCAAAGTGCAAACAGAAGTTGTAAGGAAGGATTTCCAGTGTAAGCGTCCGAGGATGATCCAGGAAGAAACAAGAAGAGTTAGATACGAAATGAGGGGGAAAGAAGAAAGCGCAAAATTGTTGGTGGAATAGCAAGGAGTTCGAGGAGGATCCATGAAGAAATTACAGTTGGGGACGGAATGAGGCGGAAAGTGAAAAACGAAAAATTGTTAGTGTAATAGCAAGGAGTTCGAGGATTATCGAGGAAGAAACAAGAACAAAATATATTGCAGTTGGCGACGAAATGAGGCGAAAAGAGGAACACGAAAAAGTGTTGGCGCGGCAAGCGCTCAAAGCTTATGGGTGAGCATGTCCATATGCACGGAGGATTTACAAAAACAAATGAGCAGTCAGAGCACAGGCGTCTAAAACATATATTTTAAGGACAATCTTTCACAATTTAAACATAAATTATTAAATATTAAAGGCATCATTATTACAAACTATGAAAGTAGGTCAAAATGATTAAAAGCGAATGCTTGAGCTCAGCGAAAAAGTCTACAATTAACCCTAAATTAAAGTTAATTTAAATGCAGCTTAACTTTAAAATGCCAACTAAAAACCATTAAAACCTTAATACTACTCACATTTCCATCGACAAAAAGCTGACTAACCCTCCTTGAAACCGATACAGGTCAAATCCCTTAACGAGTTATTTAGTAAAGTTCTTCGAACCCAACCTGATATTATACCCCTACAATCTTGAGCTTCCAAAGAACTTCGACTTCAAAGATCTCTTCCCAGGAGGCCAAGAAGCATCGCCCTTTGTGAAGGGAATAACGCATGACCGACGACGCATGGCTAGGGTTCACTGGAAAGCGATAAAATATACGAATATCCCCATATAACATACATATTGCAATTTAAGTTCCCAGTCCCATGACTTTCTTATCAAAAGGCCTGGGATGGGGCGACAAGTTTCTCACGTTTTATCGGCAATCTTTTTTTTGCTTTTTCGCAGGCAACAAAAGTTTTCCATCGTCCTGAATATATGTATATATCTTGTATTATTTGTTGTCGCCTGTCTTGTGACAGGCAAACCCACAACACTTGTGCTTGCCACCTCTTTCTATCTGACTGTGCCCATCTCTCTCTCTCTCTCTTTTGTCTCTGTACCTTGGCAGCCCACTTCCCTCTATAATAAATATATATGTATCTGTGGCACGCAGCATCTTTGCCACATTACCACATTTATCAATAAAGTGCTCGCAATATTGCAACTTCCAAGTTCGATGAAGAAGAGGCAAGCCTCGAGGGAGAGAGAGTTAGAGCTCGCCATCTCTTTTCGACATTGCCTCTGGCAGTTTTGCAGTTTGCAACTCACAATTCGCACAATGTCCCGTTATCTGGCTGCTACTGCTGTTTGACAGTGGGCGGTTTTATGTTTCGGTTTTTGGTCCCAGCTCCATCGTTTGCCGCCTGTCAACAGCATAAATAATATTCGGAGAAGTGTGAAGGAATGCGAGACAGCGCCAAGTGCCAGCGGGCAGAAATGAGATTAATTTCGGAAAAGTTAAGGGGAATTATGGAATACGCTTTCCTTAATGGGATTTTGTTAGGCAGAGAATAAGAAACTATTGTATAATATTTATGAGGATTCATCTAAAGAGGACTGGAAAAGCATAAACGGGGCATAAATCGTTGAATTTCAATGGAAAGCTGATTACCTTTTCAGCGCCTTTCTATGCGATTTTCAAACCACCAAGCTAAGTGCAGCGTACTTCTTGAATAAATTTAAAGGAAAATAAAACTGATAGTTGTTATAGAACTTATCTATCAGATTAATATCACGTTCTAGTTCTTTAGTTATAGGAATGTGTTAGCTAATTAAAGACCAATTTCCAATCTTTAAAATCTCAAACTTCTACCAATAGCTAATATACCCTATACCTCAACGTCACCCTTGACTGAACCTTGCATATCGACGACCAAATATTGAATACAATAAAATATTTATTGAATTACGGAAGCTGACGCCGTGATTCGAGAGTGTTTCGCCTGACGCTTTCCCAGTTCGATGTAGTTTTGTGGGAAACCAATGGCGAAAAACAAGACCTTAGAGCTAGTTATGATTTGCTTCATGGGAAAATTATTGGTTTTCGCTGGAAACTTATTACCCACAGCTGGAGTCAAAGATCCATCAAGAGATTGGCTTAAATCTGGGATTCCGGGTATTGGAAATCATTTGCTTACCTGAAAGTAAAGAAAGGTAAATAATGAGGAATTAGTTTGGGTTTGGTTGGGGAAAGAATAATGAACTTATTATTGCTACAAACTTTGTAGGAAAGGTTAAGTCTATAGAATTAAAGATCTAAGCTTTAAGATATAATTATGTCACTGCGTTTCCTATCTAATTAGAGAGAAAAATGCAATTGATTGAGCAATTTCAGTTAATAGCAACTGATGATAGTTAGTTTTGGAAAATCTCTTCAAGAGTCCTGAAACCCTAAGAGTTAAGTTCAGTCTTCAGTCTTTGGCAAAGGCAAACTAACTAATTGCCAAGTGAACTTCTAAGGGTTCAAACTTGGGGTCAGACTTCAGACTTCTGACTAAACACACTTCCTCTAACCATCACTCCCATTTTGCCTATGACTTCCGTTCCACCTCTCCAACTTCCTTTGTTTGTCTGCCTTTCGGCCACTTCTTAGCCGCTCTTCGTCTGGGCTTTAATTTTGCACTTCCGATTGTTGGCCAACAGAGAGCTAGAGCAGGAAAAAAAAACAAACAACGAAACAGCGTCAAAGACGCCTATTAATTTTCTTTTATTTGCCGGGGAGTTTCTTCTGCTTTGTTTTTTGTTAGGCAACTTTTTATTGTTGTCTTTTCGGGCGCTGCTCAGTTGATTTTTGGCAACAATTTTTGGAGCCACTTTGTGTTGCCCATGCTTTTTGGCTGTTACTGTTGTTACCAACAACTTTATTAGCAGTAACAAATTTTTGTTTTGTTTGTCGGTGATATAAGCTAAATGTACCCCCTCCTCACCCACCCCTTCCACCTGCTGAATGGTTGAGCGATTTGGCAGCGATTGCATCGCATATATCGCATTTAAGCCAAAATGGTCGAAATGTTGCAACATTTTCCACATTTATTCACGCGCCACATTTAGTTGTTGCTTTCGGTCGCTGCTTGTTGTTTTGTTGTTTTCAGTAATTGTTGTTTTTTGTTTTTATTTTTTGGTTTTTCGACTGCCACTGCATTAAATTAAATTACACGCTTTTAAGGTTTTTTTCCCCTTTTGCGTCTGTGGCTGGCTGGCTGCATTTTAGTTTTTCTTTTTCATATTAACTGAAATTAGCCAAATTACATTTTTATTTTTGTTTACAGCCGTAATCTTCAGCGGTATCGGTTTATGACCTTTTCCCGCGCTACCCATTAAACAATTATATAATTCAAATTAAAATTGTATGATGGCCAAATCCAATAACGAGAGCTTACAATGCCAGGATGTGGCACTGTTTTAGCTTCGCCAAGCGAATGTGTGTTAGTTTTACCTATTAAATTATACAATTAATCTGGAACTAAGCGAATTATGTATGCTATGAAACGGTAGCTGGAATGAAACTGGAATTTTAAATGCTTTTTTGCCAGTGGAAGTTCGTTTTATTAAATGATTTTGGGGGGGTACTTTGGGTAGTAAGCCAATTTAGGCATTTACTGGAGTTATTTTTACATAGTTAGATTGGTATTATCGCTTTATATTTCCCTTTATGGGTAACTTTGCCATTTTATGCAGTTCTCAATCAATTTCGTGAAGTTTTAAGAGCAGCAGATTAAGAGCAGCAGTTAAGTTCTGTTGTTGTTCTCTTATGAGGTCAAAAAATAAGTTTTCTTTCTTCCTTTATCCTATTCTTTCTTTGCCTAATTTCTACATGCATTGGTGACACTTGCTGATGGTGCGAAGAGGACACACATAGTCTTCTTTACCATGATCTTTATGCAAAAGTAAGGGAGGGGAATACATTGGGCTTACTACTAAGAGTTTATAGATAAGTTAGTGTGACTGTTTGTTACAATTGCTAGTGTGACCGGCTGCTACAGATGACAATCTGGAACTTCTATGTTCCTTTGGGTTTCCTTTCAAAGTTAACTTAAGTTAAAGAAAGCTTAAACTAATGAGTTTTAGTTAAGCTTTTAAAGTCTTAAACATGTCTTACTGTAAATGGTATAGTATGTTATAGTCTCAGTTTAGTTTATATTTAACTAACCTAACCAAACTAAACTGTTAAAATACCGCAAAAGTCTGACAAAACTAAATTCACATCGGGAAAATGTTTCTGCAAAATGATTAAAGATTTTTTACCCTCTACACTGTTTTACAGATTTCAAAGTACGCCCTTAGACCTTATCTTAAAATCTTAGATATAGTTAATGTTACTTAGTTTTATTTGTAGAAATTGAAAGCAATTTGAATTACAAACTTATCCGCTAATTACTTGGAAACTTGAAAACGGTCAACGTTGGCCGTCATCACATACAGCTTCTTTAGCATTTCATCCGCTTGAGTCGTGATCATGGCAAAGACATCGATCACTCCCCTCTGATTAATTCGAGCAGCCACTCCGGGCAAGTCCTTATCCACGAAGTAGACAAACGGCATCATAGCAAAGTTGGAACCACGAGAAAGGACATGGATCATACCAAATTCTGGTAGGGAAATTTTATAGGGATAGGAGGCACACGAAATGAGACGTGAGTACATTAGGTTGTGGGAGGCATCAGCCTTGAAGTTGCTGTTGCCGATTAACATGGCAACCAGATTCTTTTGGACCCCGGACAGCATTGCCTCATCGAGGCCATTGATGATCAACACTGTGCCATCGGACCATAACCAGGCCACAATGTTGGCCGAATATTCGATTTTGATCACATCTATGGTGCTATTATAAACTGCATATTTCAGGGTATTGGCAGCCGTTTTCAGATCCAATTTCCTGTTCAAGTTTAAAGTGCAAAATGGTTTGCATAAAATCAAATCGATGGCCAAGTTTACCACTTCAAGTTTGGGCTTGACACGACGTCTTATGATACGAATATTCTGGATGCACTTTGTCCACTTTGCTCAGTACTGGTGGAAGCTCTAAAGTTCTCTTTAACTTCTCGACTGCCTTTAAGTCATACACCTGATCATTGATAGAGATTGGACTCTCGCCCTGCTTATACACGTTCTCCTTCATATTTGGATCAACGGTTTTCTCAGAGTCTTCGAGGCGAAGTGTGAAGGAACTGTTCCACCCGCCAACAGTGGAAAGTGTAATGGTAGCTTTGCCTGGACTTTTGGGTATCATTTCCTCCTTCTTCATCACGCTCCCGAAACTAATGGGATCTGGTTGTGTAGATGGTAGTGGAACGTTGACCCTTTCTTTAATGGTAAAGGCTGAAGATGTTCCTAGTCCTGGATCAATCAGTTGCTCGCCTTGTCCTGGCTTTGCGGTTACAGAAACTGGTTGCACCTTTTCAATGATCTCTTCTTGGTTATATTTAAAGTCTGAAAATATCTTCTTTGGAGGTATAAATTTCTTTGATTCCTTTACGGGCGTGTTAACCAGACTAGCGGGCTTCAAGATCTGGAACAGAAGATCCTTGTTCTTATCGTAGTCCATAGCTAAGCTCAATAGCATATCGTACTCTGCCATGTCACTCATGGGCTCCCGTAGCCCCTCGGCTTCGATCCAATCGTTCATGGCCTGCTCTTCCTCAACCCCAATAGTCCGCGTGTATCTGTAATTTTCAAAGTCATTACTATTGCCCTCCTCCTGTCTAATGTTTTGTCCCCTTCCGTATTTTTCCCAGTAGAGCATTGCATCAATATCAGAATTTACATCTCTCTCAACCTCTTTCAAGGGGGATTTAGGGGGCTGTGGAGAGTTCCCTGTTTTTGGAGGTGGATTTGAAGCTGTGGAAGTGCTGCTGACTTCTCCAAATATACAACATAAAGGCCACTCTGCTTCTGAAGGGAGCACGGACCCCTCTACCATGGCCTTGTAATTCTTCCAAATATCCATCGAAGACGGCAGCTTGGTGGGCGAAATAGGCCGAGGATTCAAGGGGTCTGGCTGTAGTATCGGTCGCTCGACTTCGACCGATGATTTTGACCCCATCTTGCGTGCTTTTGGTAGCTGTTTAACCTTGGACTTGGCTCCCGAGCTTCGCATCTTGGCAGTCTTGGATGAACCTGATCCCGAGTCAATGTCGTGGAGCACCTGGATTGGCTCTGAGTCCTCGTCTGTGCCGAAATCCAAAACGAAGTCGTTAAAGCAAAACTTGGTCGGCAGCACATTTCTGTTCGAGCCACTGCAAATTATTATTTATTAAGTTAAATTATTTATTTATTGTTCCTAACTAGGCCTAAGGCCTAGGCCAATACAACACAAGATTTAGCTTTAGGGCTTAGAAGTTATGGCTAGTACCCACCAAGATAAAGAGCGGCTAACTTTGTAAGCCGAATAAGTTTCAGCAGTTTTCTTTTTATCTTTTTTGTCTTTCCTGGACTTCCTGTTTCCCTTGCTAGTAGACGGCTGTTCCTCAAAGTTCTCCATACTGAGTTCCTTGAGAAATTTTCTTTTTGATTTCTTTATGAGGGGCGTATGTCTTTCTCGAATTAGATTTACGATTAACAATGATTTCTGTTGGATAATTTACTAGACATTTACTGACATTTATCATTTAATAGATGTCAAGCTTAGCCAGGGTTACAATAACCCAAAAGTGTTGCCATTTAAAACGGGAAAAGTGTAAGAACTTAGCACTTAGAAATTCCTAAGATTCATAGGAATTGCTAAAATACAAAAAGTCCTGTAATTTCATTACAAAAACTCAGCTCAAACTTTTCCTTAAGCTCAATGTACAGTCTAAAAAAGTGAAGAAAGCAATTAAGAAAGTAAAAGCTAATGCAACTAGCCCATTACGCAGACCTTCTCTACCATCCATCCCATGCTTACTCCCCCATTATGCAGTTTTTTATGGCTCCTCCTCGAACTCCTCTTTTTTTGTCTAGTCCATGGGCCACATAATTTCCCCTTGGACCAAGTCAAGTCAGCTTCTCGACTGCCTCTGTCTGGGCATAATTCAATTTCCCTCTCCCATCCGAAGAACCGAACGAGAAGCCTCCTCCTAACTCCCCACTGATCGGTGTTCAAAGTTTCTCGGCTTAAAGATTTATCGCTTAAATTATTAAAAACTTGTGGCCAGCAAATCGCTGTTGTTATTCGCTTTTTTTTTTATTAGTTTTATGATGTTCTTGATTGTCGTGTTTTGTAGTTTGCATATAATTAAATTTATTTATTCAACTTTTTGACCAAACGAAAAAAAAAAAAAACATAACATTTTGTGGCATGCCAAAAATATTTTGTGTTTTATTTACTCAGCCATAAATGACATTTTTCACTTTGTGCAAACATTTTTGCTGTTTATTTATCCATGAGGTTATGCTACACGAGTTTGTTTATCTGTTTGTGCCAGATTGCTTATATAATTAACGGATATATTTGCCCCAAAATTTGTGTGCTGGGGTTTCATAAACAATCTATGAGTGTGTGTGTGTACTGAGTTTATTGCTGATGAAGGGTCCGAATAATTTTACGTTCTTAGTTTGCTATAGAGAATTGTACATGTGGAAAATATAAGTGCACTTTATCAAATATTTGCAACATTTTTAGATCAATTTCGTATGGGAAAAGTGCCAAAAAATTCGATGAATGAAATAATCTTGACTTGCTTGATCTTATGTCCCTCTAAAATCTAACTAATATTATACATTTGTTTAATGTTTAAACATAAAAAAACACTATATACATGTGAAAAAACGATATTTATTTCCCTTTAAAGTAAGTCGTAAAGGTTAACCCCTTGTCAGGTAGACCCTGAGGGTGCCATTCAGACATCCACTTAGCACTCGATAAAAGCCCTATTGAAAAGGCCCACAAATTGAGGCCCAAACATTTCATTAGGTTTTCATTTCATTCGCTGGCTGTTTTCGTATAAACCCTCTAATTTATACACCGAATTTCCAGCCTGGACAGCCAGATTTTTCGTTCGAGTTTGCACCTTTACTCGAACTCGTATGCAATTTGCTAGCTAATTGGCAAACACTTGCACTGCCAGCCATATTTATGGCTAGTTATTAACTAGGCAAATCTGCATCTCCGTTCGCTATGTATAACACTGGACAACACTCAACGCCATGTGAAACACGTGCCCATTAATCAGTGCGAAAAGTGCCGCTGGCCCAGTCTTAACCGCTTTGCAAATATATAAGCCGACAAAAATTGGCCGTCTGTCACATTAAGAGCTTATAGAGAGGGAGAGTTGGGGGCTTGAAGGTGGCTGAAATCCGCTGGGAGCCGACAGCCAAGTTGTCAAACGGGGGCAAATGTAAATGCAAATTAGCCATAAGTCAACGAGATTTCAGGACATTTGTGAAACGGCAGTTAAATGCAGAAAAAAATTTAAGTTAATTTTTGGTAATTAAAGCTCTGGAAATAATATTGGGTCACTCAGATTTCAGGAGATTTATTTAAATGCAGTTAAGTGAAGAGAAAAATGGAAACAACAACTTTTATTCCACAAAAATCACGTTTCGTTAAGCAAAAATTTGTATATAATATTAAAAATAACTACTAGTAGTAAGTAAAAGTAACAGATGCATTTCATACAACACTAACATCTATTAAAAGTAAACTTAATAGCTAGTATACATAGTTTAAACGAGGCGAGCCTCAAATTCGTCCTACGGCAGAGCATTTACTAATACAAATACAAGAAATCGTGCACATATTTAGTGACGTTTTTGTGTTGGTTTCCAGCTGTCTACTGAGAAAAACAAAAACTTCATTCTTTGCTAACCATTTCGTCACTCATTTTACTGATTCGCTAAATGTGAAAGAAACTCCAAAGTGGAAACAGAAGTTACAAGGAATGATTTCCAGTGCAAGTGTCCGAGGATATTCGAGGAAGAAACAAGAACAGTTAGCGACGGAATGAGAGGGAAAGCAGAAAACGAAATATTGTTGGTGGAATAATAAGGAGTTCGAGGATGATCGAGGAAGAAACATGAACAAAATATATTGCAGTTGGCGAGGAATAAGGCGGAAAGAGGAACGCGAAAAATGTTGTTGGTGGGATAGAGCTCAAAGCTTATGGGCGAGCAAGCACAGGATTTACAAAAACAAATCAGCACTTAGAACATAGGCATTAAGCCCCCCTGTTTTAAGGTCATGTATCTTTTTATGTTATCCATGAAAAGGTTAAGATAATGTACTTACAAAAACTAGATTCTAAAGTTTCTTCTCAAAACATATTCTGGGGTTTTGTAAAATGAAGGTTAAAATTAAGTTTAACAAACATTTATTAAGATTTATGATTATAGTGTTATTCATTCATTAATCTATAACATTCCTAGAAACTAAATCTGGTTAAAGAGTTTTTTAGTTCAATCCTAAGACCTAGAAGAATATTACAAGCCAGAAGCCACCCAAAGACGGCATTTTAACAGCTCCCTCAGGAACATTTTTCTAGAACTAGACTGTGGGATAGCCTCTCTCTCTAATATTTACTGTTAATTTCCCAATAGAACCCCACTATCCAACACTATGTTTTTATGGCCAGTATTCAGCACTCCTTGCCGGCCAACAGCACCCTGGGGGAGTTTGCTTGGAAAGAAGGCTTTTTAATTGCATCGGCATTGTTGCCATTCAACCGTTCTTCATCCGATTGGGTTTCAGTTGTTATTTATTTTTTTTGTTGCACACAAATTGCATTGCAAATGCAATTGAAAAATGCAATTTGCAATTGTCTCCGATCGCCGTTGCATGCACGCATGCGATGCGTGTGCAGTTGACAAATTCAAAACCAAAATGCGCATAAAAATGCGCATAAATAACGCTTCAACCCAAATTCGGGTCCATTTGTTCTGTTCTGTTCTGGCCATGTCATTTAATAGCCTATAATATGTGTATAAATAGTTGGAAAAAAATGAACAATAATTTGTTTTAAATTCAATTTAGCCGACAGCGAGACGAAGCTATTAAAGTTATTCTGTTTGTTGGGGAAAAAAATTAAATGGAAACTTAAAAAAAAAAAGAGATTTTAAAGGGGAAAAGGGGTAATAGATCTTTATATACCCATTAAGTTAGTATTAACTAAGTTATTAACGTAAATTAAACCATTTAGAATGATATCCAAATGGTAAAATTACAACAAATTAATCTTTTCATTTCTGTAATAAAAATCTTATATTTTTACAGAATAATGTTTAATAAGTAAAAAAGTAAGTAATAAAGTTACAGAAATATAAATACTTTCTTCAACAATGTTAAAAAATATTACTTTAATTTATTAAACCACTTAAAAATTGTTGATATTCCCAAAGCTAAAAAACTTTTTAACCCAAAAACTCACAAAAAATGGTCATCTTAAAAAGAAACATCGACCATCATTTCATTCTACCCCCCAACAGGGTATACAACTTTCAAATAAAATGTGCAAAGTCTGAAAAGAAAAATGTAGAAGAGCAACACATATATATAAATATATATACATATATAGCAATATATAAACATATATATTTGTGAAATAAAACAGAAGTGAAGCAACGTCCAGCAAACAATGCGGAATGAAGCACACAAAACAGTGGCTGCCAAAAGCGTTCGCCCCAGCGTTTTGGAATTCAGACACTTCTCCGTTTATTGCACTCTCAAAAAACCAACCTCTCCTCCCCTTTACCGATTTTCCACAGCCCTCTCGCACATTGGTCAGACAATTTGCAGCGTTGTCTCGCCTGCCAAATTTAACCCCAGGCAGCAGCTTCATTTTTTTCCCTCTTTCGTTTTTTAAACATTTTTGCTTTCCATTTTGTGCTTTTTGTTTTTCACATTTTCGTGCCACACGCCATTTTCATGCGACTCCGGTGTCTCATTCCCCTTCTGGCCGAAAAACTTTGCTCTCCATATTTTTTGCAACACATTTTTCATAATTCTTGAGGCATTTTCCCAACCGCCGAAGCCGCCGCCGCCGTCGCCGCTAGACAACTGCAAAGTTTTTTCCTAGTGTGGAAATTATATTTTGCCATCATGTAATAATCTCCGTTTTCCTTCTCTTTTTTATGGGCGCTGCCAAAAAATATTTCATAGTTGCACTTTCGGAGTTATGCCCCCCTCGCTTTTGCCCATAAATAGTTTTGGTCGGAAAAGTGGGGGGAAAAATTCGAAGAGAGAGTCATAAATATGTCGTCGACAAGAGTCTATATCATGTATCTCTGTGGATGCCACACATTTTGGGCACAAAATGCTACAAAATCCATGTAATAATTTCGGCAACGGCAGAAAGCTCAACAAATATCGGTGGCCAAGTAGAGGAGAGTAGGGAGAAGAGTGTTGCACCCAAGGAAGAAGATGCAAGAGGGCTTAGTTCTTTGGCAACATTGGGGCAAAAAAGTTTGTGTCGCAGAGACAGCCACAATGTATCATTTGAAAGCCTTCCTAGGCGCTTCTCACTTTGTTTAGTGACCTTCGAGCAACATGTTCTTCGGGTTCAAATGGGATTGTTTTTAAACCTTGCCAACTTTTTTGGTGTACAAAAGTTTTGAGGTAGGAAATGTTACGATTCAAATGTTACTAACTTTAGTTAATAGAACACCAAAGTGGTTAAAAAACATGCAAATGGATTAATTTTCTTTGTACTAGAAGTTTTTATAATTTTATATTATTTAAGTTTCAAAAGTTTTCAACCTTTTAGTAGATTAGCTTATTACTTAAACTACAAATAACACATTTTCCAATACTAATATTCCCATTAGAAAACAATAAAATATCCCACACTCCCTTTAATTTTCATCACTTTCCTTTCCGTCAAACTTTTTGGAAAAAGTCGCTTCATAAAAGCCGCTAAATGTTGGGAGTTTGTCCAGTGTCTCCTCTGTGACCACATTGTTGTCAT